GGCCAGCCTGTGACACAGCCAGTGGGGGGAAGGCAGCCCGTGACAGGCACTGAGGGGGTCGGGGCCATGTTTTATTGAGGAAAGTTTCCTTTGTCTTTATGCTCTGCAGGAGTGTTGGCTTAGTAGGGGCTTTTTCCTGGGGTGAGGTCTACAGAGCGTGGACAACTGCTGAGTCAGCTTTGTCTGCAGCTCACCCGAATGCCTTTTTTGAGGTGCCCAGGAAGTACATGTGCGCAGAGGCCAGCATGGGCGCTGAAGGAAGGTGCAGACTCCTAAACTAGACCCAGGGCCTGGTCATAAGGACTCAGAGCCACCAGAGACCACGCTGCATTTGCCTCCAGGAGTGGGCGGAGGGGCTTGCCGCGTTGGGGAGGATGCTGCGGACGGTGTGAGAAGGGAGCCTGACCATGGCAGCTGGGCAGCTGCCTGAGGGCGGGCCGCACCAGGGCAGCTGGGGTTCTTTCTGTAAAGCCCCAGCCCCTCTGTACTTAAAAGTGAGGAGACCGCCTGCTTTCTAGTGAAGGGATTTAACCAGAACATGCAACATTTCTTCTTACCAAGATCTTTCCTTCAAAAAGATTCCATTTAATACAACACATAATTCTACCCAGGACAGACAAGGGGGTCAGGGCATTCTGCTCAAGGTCTCTTCAAAGCACAAATGCTGTCAAAGGTTGCAGATTTGAAATGCAAACAAACACTCCAACTGCCTTAAACCCAGCAACTGGAAAAGAGCGGACTGAAAGTCCATCCCATTGCAGTTATGCAGCCCTAGTATTAAAACCAGGGGACAAAATGAACTAATACAACGTCCCCCATTTGTTCTGAAGGTAGAAGCCAATTCAGTCGTGACACTTCACACAAGAAAAATTAAGCCCTATGTCTTTGCAAATAATTACTTTCCAGAAATAAATTCATGTTTCTTAAAAAAAAAAAAAAAAAAAAAAAAACAAAAGAAAGAAAGAAAAAAGAAAAGAAAAAGTGGAGGAGGAGCCAGAGGGAGCCTGACGGCGGTGAGGGACACGCTGTGGTCCCTGGCTGGCTCTCCAGGACATGGCCAGGCAGGCGGGCGTTGATGAGTGACACTAGTACAACGTCTCCCGAGCGTGGGTTCGCAGGTGGCGTAACAGATGCGAGTTGCGGCTGAAGCTGCGGCCACACTGCGCGCACGAGTAGGGCCTGGCGCCAGTGTGCACCAACAGGTGGCGCAGGAGGTTGCAGGTGCGGCTAAAGCTTTTGCCGCACTCCATGCACTCCTGGGGGGCCTCCGCCTCCTGGCCCGGCTCCGCGTGGGTGGCCAGGTGCCGCTGCAGGTGGGCGTTGCGCCGGAAGCTGCGGCCACAAGTCTTGCAGCTGTAGGGCCGCTCTCCTGTGTGGCTGCGCCGGTGGGGGGGCAGGGT